TGCCTCGCAGGACTGGAAGAGTCATTCTGGCTATTCAGCAGTTCATGTCGACCTACCGACACCATCAACACAAAGCGAAACCGATCCAGGAAAGCATACATCCCGCCGGTCGAGAATGACATGGTGACAACAGTATTGAAAGAAGCGGGAATCTTTGACCTACTCCTGCAGAAGAAGATCACCAGAATGCCGGTGCTCCCAGAAGCCAACTACGATGACCACCCTGAAATGATTGAGGTCTCATCAAGCGATGAGGAGGTGGATGAAGTTGACGAACCTGATGAGGAGACCACGACGCCTACGGCGCGGGGCCCTCGAACAGAACAGACTTCAGGAGAAACAGATGCCGGAGCTGGTGACATCGAGATTGAGGAGGAGGAGGATGACGTGGGGGGCCAACCTTCAGAAGCGAAGAAGCGCCGAACTGAGGTGCGGGACATCCGTGATCGATTTGAGAAGCTGATCTCAGACGCATCGAATGTTCAATATTGTTTCATTTGTGGTGGAAGGCATGACATTGATGAATGTACTACACCAGATGATGAGAACATGAAGGACACCCTATGGCGCATGAGATTGATCATGGATCAGAAGTCCAAATCCCCATCATCATCCGAAAGATCCAAAGCTGCAACCAGAGGCAGAAAAGACAAGCTCCCAAAGAACGTCATGCCACGAGGAAAGCGTTGGGGAAGAACCAGATTCACTGAGAAAGAGGAAGTGACCAAGTGCTTCTATAGTCAGTCAGCCTTTATGTACGACATTGGCGATCGTGAAGAAGGAGGACAATACTTAGTGAATGGTGTCGAAGTCAACCCAATTAGCCGAGGTGTGAAGAATCGTCATGAGCTTGATATGCTGATTGAGCGTGCGGCTGAGGAATCCCCGCCTGTCTTGCCGACCATTGAGGAGCTGAACGCTTGGAAACACATTGATCATGATGAATACATGAAATGGCTTACTGAGGAAAGAAAACAACATGGAAACAACTGGAACTTCAAGTACATCCAACCATTCACACATGGCCACAACATCGGTACACTTCAACTTGCTCGCATCAATGGAGAAGAATATCTTGGAATGGGCTGGTGTAAGGTACATCGATATGGCGAGAATGAGTGGATGGGCAACAAGTGGGAAAATCCGCAATGGATAGTCGAATTGTCGAAAAGATTCAATGCAGCGCTACGCCACTCCGTGGGTTGCGTCAAAGACAATCGAAATCACCGTGGACTACCATGCGATGAGGCAGGTTGGGTCAATGTTGAGTCGATCTTGAAGTACGATGCCATTTGGAGAGACCAACATACATTGGCCGGAACGACCCATGTCAACTACCCGATACTTGTTGAGAGGTGGAACAATTTCCAGAGAGTGATCTTCACTGAGTACAAGCAAACGAAGAGAATCCGAGCCCAAGTGCTAGGACTCAAGGTCACGAAAGGTGAGTTGGAATACATCATGAGCAACTTCAATGATGGATTGACCTCGAGACTTGATCGACAAACACTGAGGTTGGAGATCGGCACAGCAGATCGAGAGATTTGGCTTTGGCCGGTGGCAATCCGTGCCCCTATGGCACATTCAAGAGTTCAAGGCGGTGTGCACATCGAAGACAAGAAGACTTCCTATCAGATGAACCCTGGAGTAGGATACACTCTTGGAGGAGGATTTCATTGCACCACTTTTGACAACATCGCTCAAATCTTCAGAGAAGGACTACGTCCCGGAGGAGGAGGCGACCGCATCAATACGTTCTTCGTGCCATTCGCACCGTGGGACGTGAGAAGTCAGATGGTGCTGAGATTCAGGAAGATTGATCAAACTGATCTTGTCTACATCTACATCACGTACGATTCCATCGCCAAGTTCTCCCCTCGATTATCAGCAGACGGACACATTTTGGTCCAAGAAACAATTCCATTCGAATCATTCGATGCAGTTTGGTATTACGACTGGAGGGAAAAGGACTACTACCGTCTCATGATCACAAAGGGAAGAGATCAACTTGTACTTTCTGTGCAAGGAGCAAAGAGGGTGGCCACCATTGAACGATTTGACAAGCTCATTGGGAACATTGTGCCTGATGAATCATCACCCGATCTGGACGAACTTCGAAAGCTTGTCGATATTAGGACCGGTCACTTCAGTCATACTCACAGATTGTTCCCTGGACATCCGGACTGGAATGACGCAATATCATTGTTAGCAGTCACTCATCATCCCAGCAAGGAGGACCATCGACTATGCCCCGCATGTCTGATGGAGACCCCTGCACCACTATCGATTTGTGTGATGTGCAAAGGATTTTTGGTGAGTCATGGATGGAGGAAGCGAATCAAGATCACCGTGGCTGCAGTACCAAGTGCCGAATCACATCATCGAGAAGAAGATCTCAAAGACCATGTCAAGAAAGCATGGGAGGAGGTGAAGATCGATTTAACAGGTGATGGTGATGACGACGAGGTGATGCCAGATGATGATGACGTCACCACGAAGAGTCCAGAACAAGAAACTCAACCAGAAGAAGGAGATGATGATCACGCCTCGAAGAAAGGCGATATCAATGATGAGAAAAGAGACTTCAGAGAACAAGATGAGGTCGACAAATTTCTCAATCGGGAAGGAAAACCGACCGACGAGAACGACGATGAAGAGATAGCGGTCGGTGAAATCAACATTGAAGAGTACGAGGCTGGAGAAGCTCGTGATGCAGTGATTGAGTACCCCAAGTGGATGAAGCGTATTGAGTTTGGATCAAAGGTCCTACCAATCGAGCCTTGCACAATTGGAGATGCTCAGCCAGAGCTCATCAAGATCCTCCTGTTGCAGATTGGATTACATATCGTCAGGATCTACAGACTATTCCAACGGAACTTCTGTGGAGACATCGAGACGGCATGGAAACATTTTCAACAGAACCAGAAATTCAGGATGGACCTGGACTCAAGAACGCCTTACCTAGGCGAGGATGAAAATGGTGAACTCATTGAACCAACTGCACAACAGATGAAAGAGCTCTACAAAGAGATCGGCCGAACAAATCAAAAGGACGACATCGGAGAAGAGGGATTCGTCAATGCATACTATGGGGCAGTGGTACTCAAAAGACTTCTCATATATACCCTTGAATGTGGCTACACGTATGATGACTTACAAAATATCTTCTTTGACGAGGAGATGGAGAAGCTGTCGAAACGTGACACAACAATGGATGAGATGAGAAAGACCACAGCGGCCCGCGACGCCCTTGACCGACAAGACGTCATGGTCAGAAGAATCATTGCAGGTGCATACAGGGTGAATGCTGTTTATTTCTTCAGGAATGTCGACTTTCAAGACACAATCACACTGAACCCAGTTGACATTGTGTGTGCTCTTCGTCCCGCACTTCGAAGAATATCACTTTTACACTTGATTCTTCAAAATGGCCGACAATTGCCACGACCTCTACTCCAGAAGCTATATGATGCGATCGATGACTACAATCACATTAAGCAACGGGAAGATCAACGACCAAGGTGGGGCATCCACATGACTGACGCCCACATACTTGCGATTGCTGATACCCCAACTCCTGCTGATCGTGAACGTGCTAACCCAGCCGCTGGCAAGTCGAAAGCAGCCCCGAAGGCAGCACCAGCACTGGGAAGAGTGTCAAAAGCGAAAGCATCATCGTCAGCAACATGGAGAACAGTTGAAACCGCTCCTCCGCCAAAACAAGCTCCAGTGACCCCGCCAAAGAAGGGTGGAAAAGACCAAGGAAAAGGTGGAAAATCTTATTCTCACCGTGGCGGAGACTGGAACCAACAAGGATACTATGGATGGGGATATAGATGATTAACCGATATGACCTCTGCATAGGTCCTGATTGAATCTGGCGATGCGAGGATGCAACCATTGCTCGAGATTTACCTCTGCTTCATTTCGAATGATTTCTGAGAGGACTCTGAGCCGACTAATTTAGAACCACACATTTTTTATTGAACATCATTGCACGAGACGCTGAGTTTCTACAGCGGTCTACATCTCAACCGACGAAGGGACGGGAAGGTAAACTTCTAGTTCCATAGTCATCTTTGTGTTTTGATTTCTTTAATTCACATGCTTGAGTGGGATTCCATGCTGGCTACGCCACATCGGATGAACCTCGATGCTAGACACCGACTACGTCGTGTCTACATGCACGTGAACAGAACCTTTATCTTTTGGTAGAGATCGTAGCAAGCCGCCATGTAGATTAGAAGTTCTGAACGGACTTTAGCTCTCCATAATTCAATAAATGAACAGCTGCGAGTGTAGTGGATCAATTAAAGGACACTCCTTTGCGCGTAGCCAACAAAATTGGCTATGCGTGGGGGGTGCGAATAGAGTGTAGGCTACGGACCCTTGTATATTATCACATAATTCGACACTCTAGGATCCAGTACCAAAGGGGCATTCCAAACTGGCCTCTTTGGCTCAAGACCCACTGCAGCGACAGAGCAAAGAACAGCCATGCGGAAGCTGCTGCCCGCGTAACGTCATCATTGGAGCAATCACTTCAGAACCAACCACCAGGACATAATCGGACAGGCAATCCCCGATTCGCACATGATCAAAAGATCTATATATCAATAGTGATGGAACATGTGGGATTGTTATTGATTGTTCAGTTAGCGTTTGGGAGAGGGGGGGCAGTTCCTCCAGGGCATGCTTGCCACGACCAGAAAATCCACCATACAGGACCTCAGGGCTTTGCTGTGTTTGAGACAACAAAACGACCATGCAATTTCTTTGTCCCCTCAGTGTATGACATGCGAGCATGTGAAATTGGGAAGTGGCACATGTAGGTTTGTAAATATGGGTATGGATCAATACCTATTAATACCATTTTTAGTGGGATGAACATCCATTTACCAGCTATTTTGATGTTCACCAGGGGTACAAGGTTTTGACCCACTGCCATATGGATTGAACCCAACAGTGTTCTCATTGTCATTCATTGTCCATGTCTCCAGGACAGATACCTACGCCAAAAAGTACCTTGGAGAGCGCGCCTATATTGCTGCGATAGGTGTGGTAGATGAAAGTGATTGCCACTTGGTCTTGGAAACATTTGGAAACATCGTGTCAACGACCTAAATTGATTCAAGTTGCTCCCATCAGAACGTCAATGAATATCAATGATTTGTATTGTGCCATCATGGTACTTCCACGGAACAAGACGCATTGTGCCGCTTAGGGAAGGGCACTAAAGGATTTGCTTTGGCCCGAGATGCTTTCGTATGATGATGCCATTTCAATTAGCTGTCATTCCCATTTTTGCTTGCTGATAGGCATTGTTCTCTTTAACAAACGGCCTTCCATTCTGGGGTCTTTCGCAACTATCAGGCAGTGCTTGCTTGTCATGTGCACCCCAGCACACCAGGTGTTAAAACGAGCTACGACAAACCCAGCAAAGAGATAAAGAGCAAACCTGACGACAGGATGTCCCGAGGTGAAATGTATCTCCAACAGACTGAGCAGTCGCTCCTTTCTCTCGAGTCGAGCACAAAGCCAACGGTTTTTGTGTCCCAAGGTTGTTCGGTTGTGCAGTGCTGAAGCTAAGGTGAAGGTTGGCGGCTCTTTGGTGATGCTTGACATTGCTTGACGCAGTTGTGGTGGTCTTTGGGGATGAAGCACATGTCCAGGTGAGAAACATCGTGAAATCTGTGTTTGGCACAACATGTATCAACATGTGACATGCAACACTTTTGCGTGGTCCAGTACTAGGTATAGCGCAGGGAGGAGTTGTCAGCGGAAACTTCCCCTTTGAGACCTCTGTGCCGAACATATTCCTGTGTCAACTGGCCTTGGCGTTTAGGGATATTCGGATCTATTGAGGATATGACGTGGTGCAAAAGAGCTTTTACCAATCGTGTGGGCAACGAGCAACCAGATGGTCAAGTCATTGGTTTGTCCTATGGAATCGAAGAACGAGACCTTTGGAGCGAACTTGTCACTGGCCTCTGAGTTTTGGTGGTAGGATGTGGATGGATGTGGTAGGTTTAGGTCAGGACCTGCAGCTGTTTTGGGGCCTATAAACAGCACTAAAAAAATGTGCAAAGAATGACAACCACTCTCACAGTGGTAGTTCAGACTTGTATTTCGATCACGCCTTGATGGGATCAAAGAATTAGAATTGTTTTTTGCTGATGCTGCCATTGTGGCATTTTTTCGTTGTGCAAATAAGATTCCCAGGTGAGTACTGACTATGGAGCAACTTGACAGCATGTTACCGCATTGCCCTTTGTCGGGAACAATGAACATGTAGATGTCGGCATTCTGACTGATGATTTGTGAAATGTGACAAGGAATGCATACGCTGACATTGGATTAGATTTCTAATCAGTGGACACAGAGTCACTGATAGATTCTGAGGTACCAACGCGGCTCTTTGATTGCTATCAGAACCCGAGGGTAAGCTGTCAGCATTGTTTGTTACTGGATGTTACTGGTATAATAAGGTCATGGGTTCACATCCTCAGTTTTGTTCTCTCACCTTCAACAGAACTTCCTTGTTTTGATGCACAAATAGCATCACACGATGAGCAGCAAAAGCATCAAAAGACAGGTTCAATTCAAATGGAGTTATGTCAGTTATGTCTAAAGGTGTCGAGTGATATGATCCAATATGATCCACCCGAAGATCCTGGTTCAGTCATCCACGGATGTCACTGATGGTCGGTTTGTGGCAGATAGGGTGTGGAGTCCCATGTCATTTGTGATTTGAAGTGTTGCTCCATGGCCTCGCAGTGGATACAGTTTCAAGTGGCTCACCAAAGGCAAGCTGTTGTTTGGAGAAACTCTACAGCTGACACCAAATGAAACCTGTGGGGGGAACTCTGAAACCATGAAATTTACTTTGTTGCCATATCCGATCTATTTATCTATCTGTCTATCTCTCTATATATATATATGTATTTATAATATATATATATTCTATCTATTTCCGTCCTATCAAGCTCTATCAACAATCAAAGACCATTTGGACATTTTGTATCTCTCAACTCCCCTGGCCATCGAACTTTCACACAAATTGCGCCATCCGGTGCCATCCGATGCCAGGATTCGCCTCCATTGAGTGGTAAGGCTGTGAACGGCAGCAGTTGCGAAGGAGTTCCTGGACATTGCTTCTTGGAGTAATTTGGAGTAAAATTCCCATGATTTTCCATGTTCTTGTGAAAAGGAGCTTGTCTGTGAGACTGCAGTTTCGTAGCTCATCACATTTGGAAATGGATGGTGTCAAAGGTTTGAAATGCAGGATAATATACTGTAGAGTATTCAGCTTATTTCAGGTTTGGTGATCTTAATCAAGTCTCAACCAAGGCTACCGAACTCCTTACCAAGCCTTTCGGATTTGCTTGGGCGGCGCATCTAATCAACGCACTACACGACAGAATCGAGAGTTTGCTGCTTGGGTTCGAATAAGAAGACACACCACGAAGACCTTGGAAGAACTATAGCTTTTGTATGTGATAATCAAACGTTGTTTTTTTGTTCCTATTGTAAACATTTCAATACATTTCACATCTGTGCAATGCTGGATGGCGTGTTTTTGTGCCAGAAAGTGACCGAAGGCAATGATTCATTCTAAACCTGTGATTTTTGAGATGAACATTCCGAGGAATCCTTACAGATGCATCTGAAGTCTCGTCATCGTCTCTCTGTGCATTTGAAGATTGACACCGAAGGCACATTTCCTGATTTTCATTCTGCAGATCTTTCTTTGAAGTGTGATACAACAAAGTCAGTTGTAGACCTGCATTCCACCACCCCCAAGCAGCCAGGAATGACACAAAACTAGACCAGGACGACACATGTCAGAACCTATCACTTTCGATCAGGGCGTTTGGATCCTCAAAAGAAAGCACACAATTAAACTATAAACATCTATAAACTATATTGTGAACTTCAACCATTTCCTGCCATGTCGTAAGGATGCCACATTGACAATGATTCTCTGATGTGTGGACTTCAAACCTGATGGACCTTTTGACACAGGTTTTTGTAAATTCGGACCTCTCGGACACAGTCTATGATCTCTATGATAGACTTTCCCAGACCTAGTGACTATTGGCATCTATTGGCGACTGTAAATTCCAAGTGCTTGTGAGCACACTGCGTAGCTTCCTCAGCTTCCTCCACTTTCTGCAGGTGCAGAGTGGGAGGAGTTGGAGTGGTTGGTCTCCTCACCCGCGGACATGGACAAGATCCGCACCTTCGACATGGAGGCGGAACACGCCCCGGGTTGAAGTAACTATGTTATGTTGAAGAAAGCAGAAAGGCGAGTTGCACTCATGGCAATCCATTCTATGCTTGGGATCCAGGAAACATGAAAAATGGAACACTTGATTTCAGTGATCTTTCTCTTCAAGAACAAAGCTTCTTCCCTGATTCTGGGCCTAGATTGGATTCGGATGAACCATAAATTGCTTGGCTGGCTGCCCCTGGGCCTGAACAATCTGCAGCAGGTCCACATTGGCTGGTTGTCAGCTTCTGCCTCTGAAGAGCGGAAAAGCTTGTCCGCGAAAGAACGGATCGCACGAGCAACTTGGCAAGTGACAGAAGACCCCTCATCGGGGGGGGTGCATGTGTGCAGTACATTTACACATTTACACATTTACCCACAGTCTATCCAATTTCCCCCAAATATCTATTCGACATGATTCGACCAAGTAGGACGAAGTTCACCATTGATACCGCTTGTGGTTTTCCCATTTTTACCATTTGTGTTGCTGTTCTTTGCCAGCTAAGCTGGTGGCTGGACGCCGTGGCCGAGGACATTGGAACATTGGAAGCTCTGGGAAAATACTTTCGCTGCACCGGATCGTCCATGGAAGTCCTGGCGGAAGAATGGTCCAAACGAGAGGATGGAGGGTTTCGTGGCGATTCGTGGCGGAGTGACGGTGTCTTTAGGGTCTTTAGGTCACCGTCCGAGTGTTCCACCCAGTAGTCCATCAAGATGTATTTCTCCATGATCTGTTAAAAACATAGGCCAAGTATGGCCAAACGAACTTGCTTATTGGTTGATGTTTCGCAGCTTCTCATGGCTTGACATGATATTAGGTGAATGCTTGCGCGGGTTTCAGCTTCATTTCCATCCATTGAAACCTTCGGGGCTTGGTGAGTCACCCATCATACTCATAGTGATTACATCATATTCATAGTGTTTATGTACAGGAAGGAACCATTTCCAAAATCATATATATATATATATTATAATTATACAATATATATATATATCATATATTCATCCACTCCATGCCTCCATGGCTGTGTTTCTTTCTCCTTCTATATCTTTGACGTCTTTGATGGGTTCAGATTGGTGCCCCTCCAGCACCGCCTGAGGCGCTGTCGTCCAAAGAGTTGTCCAGAGCCCGACGCCCATACCGCTACGGGCTTCTCAGTGATCCAGTTCGCAGCTCGACGATCAACGGATGAGGTTTGAGCTGATGCACCCAGGTGCTAGGTGGCCCAGTGGCCCCTGGAACTATAGGCATAGCATGGCATAGCTTGACTGCTAGGCGAAGGCATCTTACGGGTGACTGGCATTCGAATATGTAGGTCAGAGAAGGTCTACATGTTTCAACCCATTTCAATCCAGACTGAATTTCATTTAATCATGCTTGGTTGATCTTGGTTGGCACGCCTCAATGACTGAGGCCATCAGCTGGGTTCATCCCCAGCTACTGAAAACTGGTGCCTTTGCGCCCTATGAAATCTTGGGCGGTTGAGCCTTGAGCGGGGCCACACTCAATGTTGAGACTCGTAGCATCAATCCCGGAACAGAAATCACTGGTGGCCATTTTCCTCCATCCCGGGAAGGCAATTACATCAGATGATATATTATACAGTTGTATGTTGTTCTACCTGGTTGTAGATGACCATCATGGTCGTCTACAAAGATCTACAAAGTATATTATTCTTGCCAGCAACGCAGCAAACGCCAATGCCTTTCCTCCTCCCTGGGACAGGTGCAAAACCACTTCCTCCGAAGCCGGAACTACCAACGGCTGGGGCTGTTGACGAGTCCCAAATCTCTTGGTCATGCACGAGGCCATGGTGTGCTTGTAGAGTGTGCATGTTGAGAGACGCAGAGTCAAATGTCTTATGATGGGTTCATCCTTTAAGTGCAAATCTTTCCATGTTTTCTTTGTGCGCTCCAAGCAATGTTCATGGCTACCATCCAGCAATCTATGATAATCATTGACAATCTATGGCAAGGACATGTCTACAACCGTCCATAGACCGTGCAGCACTGTACAGGGCGCATGGTAATCGGGGCTCAAGGCCTGGAGTGTGTGAAGCCCAGAGGGACCATCTGTGGGGATGTCCGGGATGGTTTGAGTTTAGTCCCTGTTCCGCAACTTTGTTCACTAAGTCACGACCGTCCATGGTGACTTGAGGATCTTCAAGAAACTTGAATAATCCAAGTCAACGGACATACATGGACATGCTATATTTTCAGACCTGTTTCATCTTGCTCCACAGTCAACCCTTCAACAAAAAACACATACCATCGCCCGGCCCAACTTGCACCGAGCTGGTGTCAATCCTTGTCCCATCTTGTCCCATCTTGCTCCACCACAGATTCTTAGGCCTTGTTTGCCGACCATCAAGCCTCTGCCCTACCAGACGCAGACGAAGCAACGGACGGAGCTAGGGGACAGAGCAGTCAAGGCTGCCTCTGGCGTCCTTTTTGATCAAGAATGCATCTTTCACATGGCTGGAGATCCTCGATCGACATGATCGACTCGAAGGGTGCACCAAACTAGGCAGTTTGAAGTTGGTGACATGCCATCATATGCCATCGACTTGTAGCATATTGATGCATATTGAGTTTCTACAAATTATGCAAGATCCATTTGCATGTTTCTTCATGTTTCTTGAGTTTTATTCAGAAAGGGATGGCCAGAATTTGTCTTGTCTGAGTCAGTCTCTGAAAGACAAAGGACTCAACTTGGTGCCTGGAAGCCTTTCCCAACGAAACATCGAGTTCCGCAAAATTCATTGGTCTCTCCTACGGCGTTGGTGCGAAAGATTTGTGGAGTGAAAGGACCGGAGTTCCCAAAGTTGTTGGGCAGGGAATCAAACATGGAGATTGAAGGAGATTCATTGTTTTGGTGATCCTAATCGTTCTCATCACTCTGACCGTTGTAAACAGATGACCATGATCAATATCATATTGGGGTGACGTTTGGATAGGTTACGAATGATTAGAGTCATGTGTATCACCAGCAGAAATAATGATCATTAAAGATCAGTGTGAACAAAACAATCAGATTTTGAACACATTGGCACACTCTTAGTTTTTTTTTGCATATTGTGTGCCAAGCTTTTGGCTGAGGATAAGTCAGGCAAAGGTCCGCACTCGGCTATATGACTGCGAAGCCAAGATGGCCTTCACTTCGGTGGCTTCCAATGGAACGAAGCTCTGCAACAAACTTGGGCCCAGCAGTGCCCCATGCTATGCTACGCCTTTCGAGGCATATCATGTCTGCGTCGGGACCCAGCATGGAGCCAAAGGGCCCTTCGAAAATATCGCGGACCATTTGTCACAACGAGAGCGCCTTTCAGTTCATATGAAGATCGACATGGGCGATAAATCTATGGAGATCCTCGAGTGGATTTTGCAATCTGGAGAGGTTGAGAAACTTCGCACCTTGGATATCACCCTGCAGTTGGGAGCATCTGGGAGCAGCATCCCGCTGTCTGAGCGCATTGAGCAGGACATTTCAACGCTTGAGAAATTTCGAGAAACTTGACAAATCATGAAGACAAATGAAGATTTGATCGAACTTAATCGTTCTTCAATCTTCTGATCCTTGCACTTCTGAACGGATGCGGAATGCGGAATGCACTTCCTTCCATTTCCTGTTAAACCAGCGAAGTATGCTATTCGTTGGTAAATCTCAATCTATTGTTGAAACATCATGGAGTTTTGCTTCATTTTGAATGATCATGATATCATTTCAGTGCTTACGATTCCACATGATTCCAGCCGGTTCTTTGTTTCTGTTTCGAGCTTTTGGGGAGCACCATGGAGCACCTGAGGAAGTGATGCAGATCTCAGGATCCACCTTGGAGTCCATGGCAGAGCAATGGGCTGAGACGGCTGGGAGGCGACCTGCTGGGCCGATTGGGAAAGGGGTCGGGCTGGGCTGGTTGGGCTGGTTGGGCTGGTTGGGCTGGTTGGGATACATTGAAGTGAATCTATACATGTCATTACATGTCTATACCGTCTATATCCGTCTCTTATGTTAGGATTAATTAAGGAAGCCTTTGATCTGGTGGGAACATGATTTGACATCTGACCGATGTGACGGGTGTCAAATTTCAGAGCGATTCGACTCACCCGGAAAGTTCAGCTGTTTAGAAGCTACAGTTCTTTAAGGTGCTGGATCTTATTTGAAGTTGTTCAGGAAATGTGCCGAGCGCTGTGAAGAACCTGAAGCATATGCTCCTGGGGGCTTTCCCTTGGTCCTGCCCTTCACCATTAGCTCCTTGGCTTCTCCTTGGCTTCTTGGCTTCTTGGCCCTGTGAGATGCCCAGCTGTGGCCGAGGTTTTGTTCATGGAGACCTGCTGACCTGAGATCTGGATTCGACGATCTGGTGGGAAGCCAAGAAAATTCATCTCATCCCTATTGCTCATCCCTATTGCTCATCCCTATTGAATCACCTTCAGTACCGGAACCCTAGGTTTTGTAATTCATTTTTGGGGCCGACTGTATTGTGTGGGGGAAGGGATTGCTCGCCAACTCACAGTTTGCTTGGGGGAAGCAATGCGGCAGAGTTTTGGTGTGTACAAGAGAGAAAAAGACCATGAAACTTATCGCGATCCCTGAAATGATAAATCGAATGGTCCTCCTGAAGGAGTCGGGAGGCCCCAGAAAAATGATGAAAAATGATGAAACATGGCTAGCGCTGAAGTCCCTCCGCTTCAGGCCAAGTCCTCCTTGCGAGCCAACAAGGGACACTGCCAGAAGCGCCATCCACCTGAAGGGAATCAGAGAAGAAGAGGCCTACAGATGCCTACAGCATGTGAACGCTAACCCGTGCAATAGTGAGTTTCAATATTGTTTCAATAGTGCACTTGGAATGGTAGGCTTGAGCATGAATCAAGTTGGTACTTTCATTTGCTACGTCCATCTTGTCAGCATTTGTCAGCACGACCCTTCAAAAGGCTTGGGATATCTCGGGATTGTGATCATCCTGTCAGGCGGGAGTGGCGACGAACTCCTCCTTGGACTCAACGCAGTTCAACAGCGACGCAAGCGTTGCAACGGTGAAAGCTTGGCCCAGAAGACCTGCGGTCCAACATGGATGGAAAAAGGATCTGCAGCTGTCTTCAATGGAGACATCATTGCAAGCTATGATTTGAAGCTTGCGGGTCAAAACAAAGGGTTCATAGAAGTCATAGAGTTGAGTGTTGCAAAACCGATCAATGTCCACGTAAGTTTCCTTTGGATTTCAGATGGAATTGTAGAACTCTCCCTGGGAAAAGCGATTGGTTGAGCTTTCGTGGTCCTGGCAGAAACCCTGGGAAACAAAGAAATCCAATTCCCTGCAAAGATTCAGCCAAGAGCTTTGAAGTGTAAGTATATCTAAGATTATGTAAGTGTGTGTGTTTTTTCCATGCTGAGCAAAATTGATTTCTGGATCAGCCGTGGGATAGTATCGCACCCCTTGACAAGACGCCAAAGCACAACCGATGCATCGCCCTCTGCAGGCCATTTGGAACGCCTTAACAAGCGAGGTGGATTCAATGATCACGCAAGGACGGGATGCACATGATAGAAATGCCATGAAACCTAGCATCCTATATGATCCTATATGATCCTATATCATAGCTGATAAGGAACATAGTCTGATGATGTCTGATGATATAGGTGGATATCTACTCCATGGAGGAACATTCAATCTAGGCTGCTTCACTTCCTGCTCTCGCTGAGGAGAAGAAGAGGTGCAGCGAAGAGCCAAAGAGTTGGAGGTGGCATGTGGAAGCATGACATGCCAGGGCCGCAAGAGTTGATATTCCTTGAAGTCAATGGCATTTTCCAAATCTTGTCACTGTACCGGCTGTACCGGGAACTCTTCAGCTACGGGGAGACTGAGAGAAGGGTGTCTTGAAATGAGGCTTGGATGATCCAAACTCAGAATAAGCTTCGTGGATTCATTGCATGTCAGCTGCACCGACATGCTACAGGCACGTGGCAAGTTCGGCCCTAGGAAGCTTGAGGTGCTTCCCCGCAGTTTGGAGAGATTGTTGAGGGCTGAGCAGTCAAGGATTTGAGACATGGGAAATCCATAGAAGTGCTGATTTGAGATGATTTGAGCATATTTGAGCATTGAATGCCATTTAATTGTACATTCATTCGCCGCTGGTGCTCAGCACTTTATTAATCAGGAAATCCTCAGTGCACTCACCCATTTTGCTGTCAAACTTTGAAGGATGGATGAGTGTCTGAGATGTTTGAGTTTACATCTTGAGGGCAAATTTGAGAGACCGTGTAAAGCTGGCATCAGCAGATTTGTATCGGTTCGTTGAAGGCATGAAGCCAGCAAGATTCCCGAAATCGAAAGCAAGCCGCCATTGCATCTTTCAGTTTGAGCCTGAAAGGTGCCGAAACTCCCTTTGGTACGACTTCGAGTGGAACATTCGGGGCGGGTTCCCCCAGTTTTGCTAGACCAGGATGGTGGCTGCACGATGGAAACAGCATGAAACAGCATGTTTATGAGATTCCATTTGTGAGAACTGACAACTCAGCTGAGAACGGATTCAAAAAGCTGCAGCTTGCAGTTCAGCTTGTAGCACAGTTCTATTTTTCTGGTTTGGATAACATTAATCTTTTTTGCTCTTGATTTGACTGCCCCCACAGATTGAACGAATTGAATTGATGTGACACTGAGACCTAATTTGTGAACTGCAGGGAGGATTAGTACATAGTAGTACCAGCTGTATAATACGACCCTGTCAGTTGCGGCCACTTGCAATGGACAGGTGTAACTGGAGATGGTTTTGTAGTGTTTTACCTGTTCCAATCCTGGCTGCAGGTTTGATACCATCTCCGCTTCAACCTTTGGCAATCAGTTTGTGGGTCGTGTGGCAAATCCTGACGAGGCCTGGAAAAATGTTTCTGTGGTTGTTTGATATGGAGAGTGATACGACCCAGTGAGATCCAGTGAGAGACACTAAGTCTCCACTGCAACTGCCAGTTGAATATCGCTGAGCATCGCTGAGCCATATTTATGAATCGTCAAGAATCACCAAGATTCACGCAATTGTCACCAGTTTTTTTTTGAGTTCCCAGTGAGGTACTACTCTTCCACCGGAAAGGAGGTGGTGGAGCTGTCGGCAGCCGCAAGGCAAGGGAAGTGAGGAGTTCAGGTCTCCAGTAGATTGGGAGCTGAGGATTTGTCAACCCTATGTCCACCCTATGTCCACCCTCAACTCAACCAACCTCAACCAACCTCGACCAACCCCAACCAACCCCAACTGGACACGCGCAGGTACAAGGCCTTGGAGATGTCCTTGAAATTGAAGAAAACCTGGTATCAGGTGATGATGGTGTCAAAATCCAGGACTGCTCACGTACAACTGGTTAGGTTTAGGAAATTCCAAGTGGTTTACATAGATGTTGCAGGATTCCACTGCCCCCAGTAGGATTCTATTCTGAAGAATCTGAGACGCATTTTGATATCCAGAGGATGCAATCTCTCTTCTGAACCATGTTTCAACCATCGAAGTCCATCGAAGCTGCGCTCATCAATCCAGCTTCGATCACAGAGAGGGTGGTATCACATGCCTGAAAAGCAGGACATCATCTACAAGTACATTGATGGTGAACAAAATCTACAAGTCCTCCCAGAGCCCGATCTCAATGATGCAGCATAGGGGCTCAGCATGGCTCAGCTCAAGCCAAACTTGTCTCAGCTGAGGGACTGATGAACATGAATTTGATTTGATATGATATCCTGTATACGTCCGTCGTTTGTTTAGATAGTTTAGTGGCTGGGGAATGGTCAGGGAGGATTATTTGCATGTCGTAAACCCAAGGCAAGGGATCTTGCATGATCTTGCAATATTTTGTATACGGAAAATGAATGAACATGAATGAACATGATGGCCATGGGATCTCCATCACTAAGGGGCTCAAGACACGGACAGAGCGGTGCCAAGGTCCAATCCTTCGTACATCGCGCGGAGCCGTGTGCCATTGAACGCTTTGTGAAGGAGGTCCCAAGATGTCCCGAGCCACTTGAGAAGGGTGGTATTGACCTTGTGCACTGAAATTCTGAAACGATCTCTTGTTCCATTCTAGTTTTTGCAAGTGCAGTGTCAAGAGGGTTTGAGATGCATAAGATGCATGCATCTGATTCATTCAATTAATTTCTAATATGAATTAACCATAGAATCAGAATGAATCTGATGCATCATTTTGGCCACATGCAGTGCCTGCTGTCACTTGCTTCACACTGGTTTCTGTGCGTTTGTAGCTACTGGCACCATGAATAGTGCATGATGGTGATTGACAGTGGACAATCTTTGGGATGTCAGGTGGTTGAGGCCACCAATCAGGCCGCGGGTCCGCATCAATGGATGTGTTTTAAATTTTGACATGTTTTAACCAACCACAATGACCAAAAGTTCATCATCCCACGACGGTGATTTGCTAATCTTGAAGGCAGTCCTGAAGGAAAGCCGAGCTGTGGGGGAAGAAGAAATCCGAGTGCAGATTCAGGACTTCTGTGGGCACTTGCTATAGGCGGAAAAAATGCAAAAAGATAGGCAAAAAGCAGCCAAGCACCTGAGCACCAAAGACCATCGTAGACCATCATAGACCATCGTAGACCTGGTTTCCAAATGTTTCCAAACTGGCAGATCTGTCGGTGGTGCCTGGAACGTTGCTTTGTAGGCGCCCCGTATTGCCCTGTGCAAGGATCGTGCCGAGACCTTGCGGCAACAACGGCTGGCGGCAGCACAGGGCGGTGCTGAACAAGGTTCCCTTTCAGGCAGGGCCGTCAACTGTTTACGTCGCAGGTCCATGGGATGAAGCTCGAACTTTCTCCTCAGTTTCCTTCCCCTGGTCAATTCTGATTTGCTATGTTGACCCAATCAGAGATTCTAGATGGGACAATAAAACACCCCGGGCCATCCCGGGCCTTTCATTTTGGCTTGGCTTGCCCCTTAGCACTACCAATGCATTAACGGCCCAGAAAACGATAAGAGGAAAAAAAACGATAACGAACTTATACATGTACATGTTCATGAACCCTGAAGATGGCAACCTGCACAGGCCTCCAAAACGATAGATAGCAACACGATAACAAAAACGATAACGACATATGATGAAAACGCGAGCGTTTGAGCGGATAGTTTGAATATATCACCTTTCGAAGTCGAAGACTTGTATGTTTGATACATAGCGACGGAAAACGAAGGGACATGAATGCCATGATAGGAAAATGAAAGGAACATTAAAGGACGATGCAAAATTAAAGGAACATGAAAGGAACATGAAAGGAAAATAATGCAAAATGAAAGGAACATGAAGGGAAATGAATACAACATGAAATCACAATGAAAGGAACATGAAAGGAACATGAAAGGAAAAGATGACATTTGTTGACTTTCGACCAAGGATTCTTTCACACCCACAGAAAGCTGAAAAATCGCATTTCAAGTACAGAAAGCCCACCACTTGAGAAAACGATAAGAGAAAAAAAACGATAACATGATTTGGGGACATTTAAAACACTTTTTTTTTTTAATACAATCCCAGATGAGTCTAGAGCATTGGCAGTTTTCATTCCAGGTTTTCATCATTTTTCATCAAACCCAAGCTCCAGTGGAACATTTTGCACAGGTCCTCCGACAGAACGGGCAAGTCAGGCTAAGCCGGAGCCTGCCGCTGCCGGACACCTGGTGATGGGGTAATTCGTTTTTGCCTCACCTGGATTGAGAAAATTCGCTCGGATTGAAGCCATTTTGGAAGCTTGTGCCAATGTGGCGACGGTTTCTGCAGAAAAGGCACGTGATTCAAAGGATTTGATAAGCAGTAAGTCGCGTACTGAGGGCTTGGTCGATGAACCGATCGGCTTTGAGGAATCGCTGTGTAGTGGGACGCACCAGTAGTTGGCAACAGTGCATTGTGTTCCTGGATAGGTTCGTTTTGGGAGGTTATCCGGTCATCCGGTCATCCAAGCTTCTAATAGTTTTTGTTGCTGTTGGTGATATCATTATATCATTATTGAGTTATGCTTGTGAGATTTATGTATGTTGATATATTTCATGATAGTAGATAAACAAACTTGGATAGACTTGGGATATGTTGAGATGGATTTGCCATATTGACTTCAGTAGAACCCAAACACAAAGTAGCTCGTGGCACAATCTCAGATTACAGTAGGGGAATTGGACAATTGGACGCAGGGCTAAAAGGATGACATCAGTTTTGTGAGGCAAAGGTGCGGCAGGTGTCTGTGACAACATGCTGGTGGCATGAGCTGAGTCAGGATGCACCAACTGCGGCTGTACTTGGAGAGCCAGAGGCACCACAGATTCGCTATAAAACACATGAAAAACGGCCAAGAAGCCCCAAGACGATGCATGGGATATCACATCATGTTCCGTTGGTAGTTGTAACATACAGAATTCACCAGCCTGGTATGTATGCAATGTATGCATTGCACCTCGCTCTGTTCTGCAGGCTAAATGGTTTGAGGATGTCTGAGGGTTTGTTTGCGCATTGCTATTGAAATCGTTTCCCTGAGCGCACTGCTTTAGTGGGATTTTAATGGTACGTACGTCTCCAATCTAGTCCTTTGTCCTCATCAGGCAGCCCGCGGACGAGGCGTGGCATGCGTTACCCAGTCTCAACGTGTCAGATGCAGTGGGCTTGATATGGCGCACTTAGCGCAACACCAACAGCTTGGTACACTTTTGTTTTAAAGGATTTGCAACTGTAGAACACCTCATATTATTTCACCAATAAGTCCAGCACAAACATGTGTTGATATTTGTTATACCAATGCATCGAGTATCATCCAGTGGTTTCTTTCAAAGTTCAAAAAGCTGGACATAAGCCTGGAAGATTTGTCGCAGGCCTGATTCAAAGCTGCTCATGTGTTAATTACATTTAATTACGGGATTGATGTATTGATTATATATATATATATATTATATGGGATCATAATTTCCTTACGGAAGACCATGGTACCATGTATCAGGGCGTGGTGGGCGAGGAGGTCGAGGTGACTCCGACTGGGGTCCGGGGTGGATCAGCTCGAGAGATTTGAGGATAGTAAATAGATGATGATTGATAGATGTAGATAGTAAAGATGCGCTAGGGAAGAGTCCCTTTGGTGGCTTCGCGAGTTAGAAACTCTTCGATCCCTAATGTTGAGGCATACCTGCCGAAGTGGCCATCAACACAACACAAGACTAGAGTCGTTCAAAGCACCTTTAGATCCTTGTGGTCAACACTCAGTGAGACTCCATGCCTGACCTTGTTTTGTGTGATATTTTTGAGACACATGAGCCCGTCAAAAGCGTGCTGGATGCCAGGAGGAGCTCGCGCAGGGCGAGGCTGGCACTTGGGGCCTGGAAACAACACGTTTTGTGACTAATGATTTGGTCAGGGACGGCAATGATCATGTCAATCTATGCATCAACGCCAGACATCGCCAGACTTATTTAATGTGCCACAGATTCTGTAGTGTAGTTGTATGATGTTGCATGTAAAGTGAAGATTCAATATGTTTCGTCGCGTGAAATCAAGTCTTTGGCTGAACAGCTTTTGACAGTGTGAGGCCGTGGAAAGCGATCAGCCGACGATTTCGACGACCGTCCTCCAAAGCAGCCCCGCAACAGCCAAGCACGGCCGCCCGACTCGCAGCGTTCTGTGGCCGCGGCCGGTGCCGCTGCAGCTGCCTCGGTGGCAGCAGCATCGGCCGCCCCGGCACCGGCCGCGTCGCCTACGCCGTTCTTGCCCCGGCGGGCAGCCAATGCCCCGGCCGCCGCTCCCGCAGACAGTTTCTTCGGTGAAGAATCACAGGCCTCACAACGGTCACAGGCACCGAAAAGGCAGTGGGCTCTGAAGATGAGCTCATGAAAATTTCATAGAAGGCCAAGGCCAAAGACAAATTTTAGATCACGAGTGATACTGATTACTAGACTACGTCGTACATCATGGTTTTGAGGCCAAGGCCAAGCACATCCAACTTGGGACAAAGCAGTTGATTTGGGGTTGGAGCTCAGCCCCGTGGCCCCTTTGTACAGTTCTAGAATCGCCTGGGCCGCCCATGGGTGCTGCATCGAGAGGCAGCTTGAAAGAACCCGCATTCTTGGCGCAGGGAGAATCAAAAAGTGCAGTGCTTGCAGTGCTTGCACAAGGAAACATCAAAAGATCAAGGACCAGTTATGTTGTGTAATTCCTGCGTGTGCTAAGAAGAAAGGATATCACCTTGGCCAAGGAAGGCACGATGTCGAGAATAGCTTGGAGCTGCAAAAACCTCTCATGGTGAGAGAGACGTCCTGTGGTAGCTATGGCTCAAAGTCATTGGCCGCAATCATGGATAGTCGCAACCGTATGACTGAGAAACAAAATGATGTACTGCAACCTTCCAAATCTTGAAGTCATTCCCATTTGACTCATTCCCATTGCCAATGTCGGCGCTGTACCGCAGTATCATCGTAGCGAATAATCTGCAAATAACACAGGAAAGGTGGAATGCTGTCAACAACATGGCACTTGGTGTTCATGCCACATGAATCCATTAGGGCCAGAACAATTCATCACATGTCGACATTTTTCTAATGTACAGAAGATGATACTTCAGAAGACTTTGAGGAAGCCGCAGGAAGCCTGCAGGTGCTTTGCATAGGATTCACCACATCCATAGCCAGCGTGCTTTCATTGTGTTTGGATTCCACCGAAACTGGATGAAACTGGTATATGACACAGCAGTATCAGCAGTGCCATCTCGGCCTCACAGGGCATCAGCTTGAACTGCATATTGCTCAGCAATTCACAGCGTGCACAGTGTCTATTCCTGCCCGACATGGCTTCCATTGAGGCTGTGGGATAGTCTTTTGTTGCACCATAGAAAAGGGATGAAAAGGGAATTTCCTATGATATTTTGATATATTTTGTGTAGTTGCAGGTCCAGAAAGATGCCTTTTGATATCTTTTGATGACGTGTACTGCACATATGCCCAAACACTTCTGCCTAGAAATCTTGGATGTTTGGGCAGAATGTGAAAATGTGGCGCAGGAGTTCATAGCAGCCCTCAGTGCCAATCATCCTGACGATGCAGAGGACAGGGCACTCATACTGGGCCAATCAGAGATGACTGTTCGGGGTGATCGAAGATGATCGAAGTATGCACCCAGCTTGGTCCTGGAGATGAGTTTCGCTCTGGGGCTTTGGCCACCAAGATTTGGGAACTTGGTAAACAGCATTAGACAGCATAGACAGCCGATAAGGATGGTTGTGGTTTATTCATCTTGAAAGGGATTCAACACTGGCTGTGGAGATTCCTTTTATCGAATCTTTTGACCTATTCACAAGCCATTCCAATCTCACGCGAGATTGAGGATTAGTGGGATTGCGGATTGATCGTGCTTTCAGGGTGCTTCAGTTCAACTGCTTAGCTTATGCTTTCGGAAGCATCTGAAGGAGAGGTTTCAGGTATATGCTGCATATATGCTTTATTCTAATTTGCTTTTGGCAGCCTGACAGCGCTGATGTGCCAGCCTTTCATTATCCTTTCATAAACCTTTCAAAATAACGCAGAAAACGGCGCAACTTTTCGCAGCGGATCCCAGGACCTGGCTGAAGCATCCAAGGCTCACATCATCGCAGTAGCACTTCTCACGATACTGACGCTACTAGTGTTCTATAGTGTTCTCCGTTGCTGACGTAGAACTATGGATAACTATGGTTTAGACATGTTTAGAAGAATCACAGTTTTTGTTGATTTGCAACTTGTAGAGGGAATTTGTCCATAATCGCATGGCTGTTGACAGTCTTGACCCATCTTCAAAAAACACATTGCCAAGATCTGCCAACTGATTTTTGAGGGTACTCGTACCTCATGACAAAGGGATGACAGCGGGTTATGGTGGACTCATCAGGTGCTGCAGAAACAAAAAATCAACACCTTGGAGCGGCTGGCAAAGTTGACAGATAGTCAGCCTGAACCTTGGTTCTGCGGCACATAATATGACACACATATTATGTTTCATCGTATTTCAACATGCATCCCGAAGACTGCCCAAAATTGACAACTGTGTGCAACGGGCTTGAGCTCGACCATCCCGATCAATAGGCCAGAGCGAGAAGTTCAGTTCTCTATACGTGACGTCGGCTTTATTTGAACCATGCTACGATCCACCTGTGTTGATGGTCCTCCCTTAATTCCCCACGTCTTTGAAGATGGTGCACCAAGTATCCACTGACAATCTGATAATAAGATATACAGTAATAAGCTGATATAACTTGGTTGGTTTCTGCTGTGCTTATCTGTGTTTCCAGCTGGACCGCAAGGTGGCAACGCCTGGGTTTGGCTTTGGGCATTGAAGCTCTGCTGCGAGAGGTCGGACATGGTCGGACTTTGTGTCAGGATGTGTCAGGGAGCAGGAAATGACGGGGGAACAAGGGGGAACGACGCTCCAGACAATGACCAGTTTTGTCGGATGAAGATGGGAAGTTTGGTTGCTGCGGCTTCCACTTTGGCTGTCAAAGCCGGCAAAGCCTGCCAAATGTGTTTGTGCAAGTATGACAAGAGACTATTATAGTGACTATTCAATAGTATGCAGCATATTTTTTCTGCCCTGCATGCTCCGGTTTTCAACAGCTCAGCTTGACTTCAGCCGAGGCGGCCAGTGAGGCAGCGCTTGAGCCACATGCAGGTGGAGATGATGGGTATGGACGACTCCTTTCGAATCGCAATGTCTCCATTCAAATATGGCAGTGTGTCAAAACCCATGACTATCAATTTTAGTGGGATGAACATCTATTTACCAGCTATTTTGAAGTTGGGTAGGTACCAGGGTTTTGACCCATAGCCATATGATCATGTCCTGATCTGAAACATGAACAGCATGGACCCAGCTTCAGGGGAGGTCTGTCAGTCCATAACAGGCAACTTTATGCAACTTTACTGTCGCAAGATGTCGCAAGCACACAAGGTGACAAGGTGTTGATCAGAGAGGCAAAACACACTTTTCATGGGCCATCCATCGGGTCACACCCACGATCTTCCACCTGGCTGAAGGTAAGCCTACAGTCGTGTCCCTAGAGGATGGGAATGGGTTTGAAATAGTTTGAATGCTTTCTGTTAAGAGTATGCATGATTTGCGATTGAAAACAGCAGATACTGTAGCTGTAGCTGTCTTATAGACGTTGACAGTATTGTCATAATGTGTATTCAAGACTTGGTGTCTTGACAAAAAGAACGGGTTTGGGTCGTGATGTCCCTGCACCCTTGACAGGTGGTCAGTGCAAAGATGCGACGTCTTAAATGAAGGATGAAGTGGGGCTTTGTACTAGTACATAGAGATACGTAGAGCATTGGAGAGAAACTTGGTGAAGCGAATTTGACATCCGCTCCCGTAGTCAGACCAGTCAAAGTCTGAACATAAGATATCCTCAAATGGAGACGTGGAATTCATCAGAAATAGATAGAAATAGCCAAGTTGAATGAGGTTCTGATTTTGGGGACTTGGCATCAATGTTCTTCCAGATTTTGGAGGTCCACCTGATTTGCTTATTGCATCTTACCGCCAGTTTGATGCTTTGCAGCTGTGATGGTTCGCAGCCAGCAGCGCGACAATTACTGAACGACGGGATGAATGAGTTGAACTCCTTGAGTTGAAATTTGGTTGCATTCGCTTCTGGCTCTCCAGGATCGAATGAGATTTCAACTCAAGGCCCTTTTGCCATCCTGGATGTGATCAACTTGCTCAACCCCACTGCACATAGCTTGACTTTTGCACATAGCTTTGTGTTCCTTTTCATTGTCATATTTGTCATGCAACTCTGAATTTGGGCCCAGGAGTTCCCTTTATGAGCAATTCTCAGCAGGTTGAGTGTCCGGTTCCATTAGTGCCATGGCTGGACCAAAACGATTCTTTTGGCTAATCTTGGCCCCAGGTTCTGCGCAGGATAGGATGGAGGGGTTGCCAGCAGAGGGGTGAATGTGGCCGGTTGATGGGAGCGCCGACTTGTTGGGCCTTGGCGAACTGACAGATACTGACAGGGTCCTTCTAATTATGTTTCTTGATGTTTCTTAGTTTGCCAACCCAAGTGACATTCACCACGCCTTGTCTCCAGGACCCTACCTGCTGGGATGGCGTGTTCACCAAGGATCTCTGCTGCGACAAGAGGTATGGCCCCAAAGGCCTGGCAAACTGCTGAGCCAATGGAATTCGAGGGTACAACATGTTGGACTTATGTATACGTACTGTATTCAGTAAATTAATGTAAATTAGTTACATTATGTTACATTAGTTTGTCTTCTTCCAGCCTCAAATGAGACAACTCTTATTTTTTCCGACACGGCAGGCAATGAAGGCTGCTGGGATCCTGTCCACACCTTTGAACGCTGCTGTGGAGTGGAAGAGGAGATGCAGCCGTTCGGAGTATCCATACTGATTCCTGCCTTGTCAAATCGGGCTTTGTGCACTGGAAAAGTGTAGTTCATTTGTTTTCGTCTACAGTCTATACAATCTATAGGGTGGAGTTGTGCAAATGTACGTATGTGTGCATCAGGTATTGGAAGGGTTGGGTTTGCATCAATAAATCATTTCTTAATCACTGATCACCTTGATATTTTGGCTCATGTGCCTTGATCCAAAATAGCATCATTTTTGGTTTCCCCCCCCATTGACCCACCCGGAGTTATGGTCGGCCATGTTGCTGTCCCATCGCTCCTGAAGTCTCTGGTTGCCAACCCCTTTTGCGGCAGAGAATGGAAAAAGACAGCGTTGTTAAACATGCATATATTGCATATGTAGCATTGGTTCGCCACAGATCCAGGACTGCAGGGTTTCTGAAGAGTTCAACCCGGAAAAGTGCTGCGATTTGGTCAAGAGTGATCGGGGTGACGAGGCGCGGTGCGGTGCCAGGGTTTTGTCAACAGCTTCTGACCTTCTGGAACCCAAAGAGCTGAGTCCTCTCTAGCAGGGCTTGGGTCATTGGTTGATCAGACATGAGATGCGTTGTATCAAAGATGGACAGCAGAACTGGCACAACGGGATGGAGTTGGTCATGTTGCTCACAAAACAGAAAGCATAGGAACCTAGCAAAGCACCTTCGGTTCCTCATCACGGAGTTCTTATAATTTTGCATAGGCTACCTCCAACCAACTTGGCTCAACCAACCTGGAAGGCTTGCTGGTCTGGCGCCTCTTGGCCAAGATGGTTGGATTTGGAAATGGTCTGATATGGCTCTGATCGTTTCCACCGGCAGACCTTCCGAGACACAAGACCCTACAAACCTTTTACATGCTTTTGCGTTGCGAAATGTGGTTAGTGCTTTCTCAACTTTTGTGAAGGTGTCACTTCTATCATCCATTTCCGTGGTTTCGTGGCGGCTAAAAGTGGCCATGATAGCATAGTTTTTGGTCAATTTCTTTGCCGGATTCCCGAACCAGCTGAGCCATCCCAACGTGGATTCAGGCTCAGACCTTTGAACATTGCTGTGGAGGCAATCGCACACCACGGGTCACCGGGGAACCACCCTTGGAGAAGCTGCCTACCTTCGGCCCCTGGTACGCACAAATTGGAGGGCCGGGGAGGGCCGGGCAGGGCTGACGTTTTGGGGGCCGAAACGGACCAAAAGTTCGAGGGGCTCGGGGCCGAAAGTCAAACCGTCAATAACGGATCATAGAGAAATGGAAACCAAACCAAGGAAGAATAGAAACCCTACGGATCCCTATGGCAGCTTCTGTTTGCTCGACAAACCAAACATCCCTGGACAGTGGACAAAACAGAAATTACCAGGTGTCCCTCCAAACGCTCAGTAATCACAAAGCGTCACTCAAACACTTGACCCAGTTCAGTTTTTCCTGCTGCTGGGATTTCATTCCGAGTTCCGATGTGTTTGAATGTGTTTCATATTATATAGTTTCATTTCATGCACGTTATGATAGTAATTATGCCATAAATGTCACTGAATCCGGCTGAAATCCACTCCAGTTATTCCGGAACCAAGGTGAGGGCTGCTGGGATGCTGAACGCTTGGTAACCTTCGGCAGATGCTGTGGTGGCACCGCTTTTGAGGAGCAGTGTTTTTGCGGTTTACAAAGCAAAACAGTGTGTTTCCAGTGATCATTCTCACATTTTCTTGCTTGGGGTGACAAAATCTTGAAGCTGAGACCCAATCCATGCAGTCTTACAACACTGACCAGCACCAACTGCCTCGCTTCCACTAGGATGTTTGCTGGACTGGAGACTTCTCTTACGACAGATGTTGTATTGGCCTTGGTCCAATACAAAGGCACAATACAGGGCTAGTTGAGTGGAGTTACAAGGGACGTCGAGGGATTGGGGTGCTAAACCAATGCCACTCCTTTCAACCGTTTCAGGATGGATTTCTCTATATTTTGAGTAAAAGAGCTTCGCAACCATTTCGCTGTGGGAGGTTGTGTTGAAATAGATGGAAGCCATTGCTTTTGTATTTTTCATGGTGTTTCAAGTGCCCCACAGCAGATCCCAGATGCCATTTGCTGCAGGTACTTTATGGATCTTCCGAAAGAGCATGACATGGTGCGCTGCGTGCGTGAGGGTTTGGAAGGCCCATCAAAGGCCAAAGCCAACATCACCTACGAGGAATGTTCGGGGAAGCACCTTGGTCTTGAATGCAAATGGTTCTGTCATGTTTTCTCGGTTTGGAGGAAAATTCACAATGTCGAAACCAAATGTTCACCTGCAGTGGAGACGCTATAGACCACACCCGGGGGACCTAATGGGGACCTATTTAAATCATATGGGTCTAAAACAGAAGAACACATATTTGCATATATATATAATATATATATAATATATATATATATAATATATATATATATATATAATATATAATATATATATAACTTATGTCATCTCATGTCACTCCGATATTTTGGATCACTCCGAAGATTTCAGTCTGTCGGCACCTACCACGGCCTTGGACGCCGCAAGGTACCTTTACGTCTCGGCCGTCTCCTACCGCTACGCAGAGGTGGAGTCTCGAAAGAATTGGAGCCAAGAAACGCCATCCCAATATATCATGTGATATCATGTGATATTATCATCATAAATTATATCCCAATTCAATTCCAATGTGGTGGAGAGACCCTCCGCTGACTTTGATTTCTGTTCCCACATGTTCTCCGGGTTGTACCAAATCAAAACACATTGCGGTCCCATGTCAACCTTAGCTTCTTATATATATATATTATATGTATGACGTGTCCTTCTCCAGCATGAGGATGCCCATAGACAGAGCGACATTTCCGCCACGTTGAGCTGGGGGCCATTGAGGTAGCGATGCATGACTTTTGGTGGCAAAGACCCCAAGACGAAAAAATGGATCGCATCGGCGCCCGCCTTAGGACTGGGCGCGCAATGTGTGATTCCATGCTTCCATGGTATGTAGATTTTGCATATTTTGGGTAACACTTTGCAGCTCAAGCAGGCGGAATCTATTGTGGCATGTTTTATCATGTTTTTATGCTAGATATTTTCCAGTAGCTGACTGCTCCATCTTGTTGCTAGCCTACGTGTCTTAGAAACTGGCCAAGTTGGGCAAGCTGCAGGTCCAGAGGTGACTGCTCCAGAATGGCTTTCTCACGCAGGGGAGGTTTGTGTCCCCAAGATATGCAGTGCCTTGGATGCACTGCGACGGAACATCCACCAGGTCGGTGGTAGAAGTGAGGCGACATGTTGGAGTGGCATGTCATCTCTGACAGTCCGACTTTGCTAATCTTTCTCAAAGATCTTTCTAATCAGGTCACTAGTCCAAATTGTGTTTTGTTCAAAGCTTTCACGTGTTTCTGTCAGCAGATACAACAAATTAGAGAAACTTACATCAACTTCTTAACCGTAATTGAAGAACTTGATGCGAAGGTACAGGACCGTTAGTGGCATCCGAGGCGATTAGACACAGATGTTGTCCAGCCATGAGTACAATGGATTCGTCATCACAATTTCATAGTGAAAGATAGTGATAGTATATGATAGTAATTACTATATAATTTTATATAATGGCACACAATTGCCCTGATGGCTAATGGCTAATTCGTATCAGACGACTTGTATCTCCACATATTTATAGATAAGGCATGCGCTGTATTGATAGACATGGACCATGTGGGGTTTGAACCACGACCCAACTATACCCAACTTAAGGTGAAGCGGCAGTAGCTGGCTGGTTTGCATCCATGGTGGATATTGGGCAATTTTACATCCAGCCCAGCTACCGAGAGTTGCTTGGCCGGGACATGACCTTCAGGCTGTGAGATCCCGTTCCCTCCTGTTCTGCTTTGCAATACCAACAACATACACGAACGATGCAGAGTAAATTGGCAATTCTCAACGCATTTGAATGCATTTGGTTTCATTGATTCATTGTGTATTTCATTTGGTTTGTTCTCAGAGGGGAACCATGCACTTGATCAAAGGGATGCACAGCAGGTCCAGAAATGTCCAGAATAGCAGTTGGCAAGTCCAGTTGCAAGCTGCGGGGCCAGTGCCTGAGGCTCAATGACAGCCATGTCCGCGTCTCACCACTAACTGCACGGGAGCGGCCGTATCCCAGTTTCCGAGGTGCAACGGGGATGGGTGATTTGTTGCTGCACGATATTGCACGATGCTGCACTAATGGACTAAAACAATACTTAAAATGGACTATGCCACCTGCAGCTCTGTGATTTTGACTGGGTCATGACCTCATCTCCATCCTGGGATCACTTTAGTCGCTTTTCTGCCTACAGGTTCTTGGCTCACGTTTCGACCTCAAGCCGATGCTCTATTGAGGCTGAAACGGAAGAGGATATTTTGAGCTCATGGTCTTCAATGATTTCTGCAGATCTGTTCACATTGCAAACCTTTGTAGAAGGGTTTTCATCATTTACATTACCACGGAAGAAGCGCACCAGAGCCGTTTGAGAGACTGCGACTTGGAAGTGCAGTGACATGACAGGAAGGAACAAAATATTCAACAATACTTTGAGTTTGTTCTCACCGAGAAGTTGAGTTTAAGGCACGGGAAAGGGAAAGCTGAGTTTGTCCACTGTGTTGGTGAGGTGTAGTAAGGGTTCGTTGGTGGTGGCAAAGGTCATGTTTGAGAGGACAAGCTCGTATCATTTCTATCATTTTTGCAACATCTGTCTCTGTCTCGAGTCCGTGTCTTTTTCTCTACCTCTCCCTCTCTATTTTTTGCTATTTACATATGTTTGCATGTCTAGGGATGCCCTAAGAATATCCGTGCGGACCTAAATTTATTTAAGGGCTGCCGCCCCTGCCGCCGACCCCGGAAGAATTGGCAAGCCGTCAGAACGTATATATGGTACAGGCCTGCACCCCCCCCCCAAAAAAATGGGGAAAGGATGTTTCTGGGACAGTTTTACACGCATTGTTGCCTGTTATGGTTTTTATGTTAAAGGGGAACGTGCGTTCCTTGGTGTTGATGTTTTTTGTGATGTATGTTGTAAGACATTTTGGGTAAAAACGTTCCATCCTAACCTCGTTGATTATTTTAGGGGAGTATCATTGATTGGGTCAGGATTTGTTGAGGTTGTTAGGGTTTTAAAGTTTTCATTTATTCAACTAAGATTTGAAAAGAAGGGAATGTATCATTAAGATTGTCTATTATTTTTTGATGACTTAACGGTTCTTTCACTTCTTCATTGTTTGATTGTTTTTGTGTTTTTCCATTATCTTTTTGTTTTTGACCGGAATTGTTGGTTTGTGCTCATGGTTTTTTCTTTCCATTTCTTTTTAGGATGGTGTGTCTGACCACCCTTGCGTGAGTCGTAGGCTTCGCAAGGAAAAAGGCACATCGTAATAATTGGGTTTGTGAAATGGAAAGAAAAAAACATGGGCCCAAGTCAGCAGCATCAGCAGCATCATTAGCTTCAGCATCAGAATATATATATATATATATATATATATATTGTTATCACTGTTACAATTAAATTATTATCAGTATTTAGTAGATGAATTTGGTGAAAGCATGGGGGGTTTTGATCTTGTGCTCGTCCTGGTGGTAGCTACAGGCAAAAAGAATTTAAGGTACTGTATCACATCATCCTATTTGAGTTGGCATGTTTGTTAACTTACCCATTTTTCAGGTTCTGCATGGGGTTCATCCCGGTATGGTGTTGGTGCATCCCAGCTCGTAGCAGCAGTGTTTCCTATGGTTTTGCAGCGCTTGTCTTGGCGATGGACTGCTTCGCCCTCTACTCGAAGGAGGGCCGGGTGAGCGGTGGATTTTGAACGGACGAATTCAAGTAAAACACAAAACCCCTGCTGGCAAGACTTGCAGCCAAGAAAGATGGCAAACCCATCAGTGATGATTTGCACGGTCAAACGTTCCTGAAGGACGAACGAGTCCGAGCACCTGCTGCTGCTGCCACTGCACAAAGACACGGCCAAACGTTGAACGAGTCCGAGAATCCCACCGAAAAACTTCTAACTGCTGCTAGTCCTGCTGCTGCAACTGCTGCTGCAGGCCTCCAAAACGTACCCTTCGCCACACCGAAACACCATGGCCCTGAAGGACGAACTAGTCCGAGAAGCGCACTCAAAAAAGGTCTAACGTTGCTTCTGAAACCCTAAATCGGCGCTCAGACACGGCCAAACGGTGCTGCTGCTGCTGCTGCTGCTGTTGCTGCTGCTGGTGCTGCTAGTCCTGCTGCTGCTAGTCCTGCTGCTGCAACTGGTGCTAGGGCCCTGAAGCACGAACTAATCCGAGAAGCCTACCAAAAAAGTGTCTAACGTTGCTTCTGAAACCGTAGAAACAGAACAGAAAATCGGCGCTCAGACACGGCTAAACGGTGCTGCTGCTGCTGCTGCTGCTGGTGCTGCTAGTCCTGTTGCTGCAACTGCTGCAGGCCTCCAAAACGCACCCTTCGCCACACCGAAACACCATGGCCCGGAAGGACGAACTAGTCCGCGAAGTCCACCAAAAAAGTGTCTAACGTTGCTTCTGGAACCGTAGAAACAGAACAGAAAGTCGGCGCTCAGACACGGCCAAATGGTGCTGCTGCTGCTGCTAGTGCTGCTAGTCCTGCTGCTGCAACTGGTGCTGCAAGCCGCCAAAACGTACCCTTCGCCACACCGAAACACCATGGCCCTGAAGGACGAACTAGTCCGAGAAGCGCACCCAAAAAGTGTCTAACGTTGCGTCTGAAACACTAGAAACAGAACAGAAAATCGGTGTTCAGACACGGCCAAACGATGCTGCTGCTGCTGTTGCTGGTGGTGCTAGTCCTGCTGCTGCAACTGGTACTGCAAGCCTCCAAAACGTACCCTTCGCGAAACCGAAACACCATGGCCCTGAAGGACGAACTAGTCCGAGAAGCGCACCCAAAAAAGTGTCTAACGTTGCTTCTGAAACCCTAGAAACAGAACAGAAAATCGGCACTCAGACACGGCCAAACGGTGCTGCTGCTGCTGCTGCTGCTATTGCTGCTGCTGCTGGTGCTGCTAGTTCTGCTGCTGCAACTGGTGCTGCAGGCCTCCAAAACGTACCCTTCGCCACACCAAAACACCATGGCCCTGAAGGACGAACTAGTCCGAGAAGCGCACCCAAAAAGTGTCTAACGTTGCTTCTGAAACCCTAGAAACAGAACAGAAAATCGGCACTCAGATACGGCCAAACGGTGCTGCTGCTGCTGCTATTGCTGCTGCTGCTGCTACTGCTGCTGCTGCTGGTGCTGCTAGTCCTGCTGCTGCAACTGGTGCTGCTAGTCCTGCTGCTGCAACTGGTGCTGCAGGCCTCCAAAACGTACCCTTCGCCACACCGAAACACCATGGCCCTGAAGGACGAACTAGTCCGAGAAGCGCACCCAAAAAGTGTCTAACGTTGCTTCTGAAACCCTAGAAACAGAACAGAAAATCGGCACCGATGCTGCTGCTGCTGTTGCTGGTGCTGCTAGTCCTGCTGCTGCAACTGGTACTGCAGGCCTCCAAAACGTACCCATCGCCACAGCGAAACACCATGGCGCTGAAGGACGAACTAGTCCGAGAAGCGCACCCAAAAAATGTCCAACGTTGCTTCTGAAACCCTAGAAACAGAACAGAAAATCGGTGCTCCGACACGGCCAAACGAGCTCTTCGCCACACCGAAACACCATGGCCCTGAAGGACGAACTAGTCCGAGAAGCGCACCCAAAAAGTGTCTAACGTTGCGTCTGAAACTCTAGAAACAGAACAGAAAATCGGTGTTCAGACACGGCCAAACGATGCTGCTGCTGCTGTTGCTGGTGCTGCTAGTCCTGCTGCTGCAACTGGCACTGCAAGCCTCCAAAACGTACCCTTCGCCACACCGAAATACCATGGCCCTGAAGGACGAACTAGTCCGAGAAGCGCACCCAAAAAGTGTCTAACGTAGCGTCTGAAACTCTAGAAACAGAACAGAAAATCGGTGTTCAGACACGGCCAAACGATGCTGCTGCTGGTGCTGCTAGTCCTGCTGCTGCAACTGGTACTGCAAGCCTCCAAAACGTACCCTTCGCCACACCGAAACACCATGGCCCTGAAGGACGAACTAGTCCGAGAAGCGCACCCAAAAAAGTGTCTAACGTTGCTTCTGATGAAACCCTAGAAACAGAACAGAAAATCGGCACTCAGACACGGCCAAACGGTGCTGCTGCTGCTGCTACTGCTGCTGCTGCTGCTGGTGCTGCTAGTCCTGCTGCTGCAACTGGTGCTGCAGGCCTCCAAAACGTACCCTTCGCCACACCAAAACACCATGGCCCTGAAGGACGAACTAGTCCGAGAAGCGTACCCAAAAAGTGTCTAACGTTGCTTCTGAAACCCTAGAAACAGAACAGAAAATCGGCACTCAGATACGGCCAAACGGTGCTGCTGCTGCTGCTATTGCTGCTGCTGCTGCTACTGCTGCTGCTGCTGGTGCTGCTAGTCCTGCTGCTGCAACTGGTGCTGCAGTTCCAAAACGTACCCTTCGCCACACCGAAACACCATAGCCCTGAAGGACGAACTAGTCCGAGAAGCGCACCCAAAAAGTGTCTAACGTTGCGTCTGAAACTCTAGAAACAGAACAGAAAATCGGTGCTCAGACACGGCCAAACGATGCTGCTGCTGCTGTTGCTGGTGCTGCTAGTCCTGCTGCTGCAACTGATACTGCAGGCCTCCAAAACGTACCCATCGCCACATCGAAACACCATGGCGCTGAAGGACGAACTAGTCCGAGAAGCGCACCCAAAAAATGTCCAACGTTGCTTCTGAAACCCTAGAAACAGACCAGAAAATCGGTGCTCAGACACGGCCAAACGAGCTCTTCGCCACACCGAAACACCATGGCCCTGAAGGACGAACTAGTCCGAGAAGCGCACCCAAAAAATGTCTAACGTTGCTTCTGAAACCCTAGAAACAAAATAGAAAATCGGGGCTCAGACACGGCCAAACGGTGCTGCTGCTGCTGCTACTGCTGCTGCTGCTGGTGCTGCTAGTCCTGCTGCTGCAACTGGTGCTGCAAGCCTCCAAAACGTACCCTTCGCCACACCGAAACACCATGGTCCTGAAGGACGAACTAGTCCGAGAAGCTGACCAAAAAAGTGTCTAACGTTGCTTCTGAAACCCTAGAAACAAAACAGAAAATCGGCGCTCAGATACGGCCAAACGGTGCTGCTGCTGCTATTGCTGCTGCTGCTGCTACTACTGCTGCTGCTGCTGCTGGTGCTGCTAGTCCTGCTGCTGCAACTGGTGCTGCAGGCCTCCAAAACGTACCCTTCGCCACACCGAAACACCATGGCCCTGAAGGACGAACTAGTCCGAGAAGCGCACCCAAAAAGTGTCTCACGTTGCTTCTGAAACCCAACAGAACAGAAAATCGGCACTCAGACACGGCCAAACGGTGCTGCTGCTGCTGCTGTTGCTGCTGCTGCTATTGCTGCTGCTGCTGCTAGTGCTGCTAGTGCTGCAGGCTGCAGGCCTCTAAAACGGACCCTTCGCCACACCGAAACACCATGGTCCTGAAGGACGAACTAGTCCGAGAAGCTGACCAAAAAAGTGTCTAACGTTGCTTCTGAAACCCTAGAAACAAAACAGAAAATCGGCGCTCAGATACGGCCAAACGGTGCTGCTGCTGCTATTGCTGCTGCTGCTGCTGCTACTGCT